GCTTCTTGTTAAATGTATGTGAAAGCATATTGCTAGTTCCCAGCCACACCTGAGATGGATACAACCCTTCGGCAATCATAGATCAATTTAACTATATCCTCTTTTTTGTCTTTCTTCTAAAAGGTTAGTACTCCTTAGGCTGTTACTCAATAAAATCACACTCTGCTTGGGGCACCTGGGTGGTTCAGTCGTTAAGCATCTGCCTTTGGCTCGGGTCAAGATCCCAGGGTCCTGGGATAGAGCCCCACATCGGGCTCCCTGCTCAGCGGGAAACCTGCTACTCCCTCTTCCACTCCCCCTGCTTCTGTTCCCTCTCTCGCTGTCTCTCTCTGTCAAATAAATAAATAAAATCTTAAAAAAAAATCACACTCTGCTTGATGTCCCCAAAGGCCAAACTGCCCCTACCTTGTCTCAGCCTGCAGGAGGACCCCAATGCCAGGGGCCACTTGGCAGCTGGTGTGACACGGCCCATTCTCCACTTCCTCTGTGGGACGTGGTGCAAAATACTTTCTCTTGACCTACCTCCACCACCCTAAAGGGCCTTCAGGACTCACAACTCCATGTGTTTAAGTATATTCTGATGCCTTACACACTCTTCTATTCCATTTACGTGTTATGGGCACGTTTCCTCACCTGTCTTCATTGTTCATTTTGGAGTGGCAGCTTCACTGCCATTTCAGCTACTGTAGCCCTTAGAAACTACAAAACTGTGTCTACATCTGCAGTTGTCCTACCTAGCCACAATACCTGCCGGATGTACGTCATGTGCACACGCATGCGTGTGTGTAAAGTCTATACGTTGTAAGGTCTACGTTGGGACTGATGGAGATCCAGCAGGGTCCTGGGAATTTCCAGAAATGATCCTGAGATACTAACTAGCTTCTTTGATGTTCTGCAGGTTTGGCATCACCCACAGCCATAACTCCAGTAGCGTCTCCTATTTGCAGTAAAACAAGGGGCACCACACCAGTTTCTAAACCCTTGGAAGGTAAGTCACCGAGGCACCCGATATGCCCGTGGGTCTAAGACCAGAAGAGTCCCCGTGACACTCTCTCATGGATGGTTCCTGCTTGCCTAGATATTGAAGCCAGACCAGACATGCAGCTGGAATCGGACCTGAAGCTGGACAGGCTGGAAACCTTCCTAAGAAGGCTGAATAACAAAGGTACATACCAGAAGCCAGAGGGAAGCTTCGGTCCTTGTGCTTGTAGCTCACTGGGATTCATATTTCAATGAGGAGCTAAAGAAACCTAAAAAGAAAACCCTGCTTCTCTCGCAAAAGTCTCTAAATCACAATTCTGATTGCTTTTTTTCCACTAAATTGTCTTCTTTCTCTTTGACTTCACCGATTTATAGTGAAAGCATTACCTTTGTTATCATTTTTAAAAGGAAGTCAGGAATGATTGGATTACCCAGGTCTGATTCACTTCATACTGTACTAGACTGGGGACCTCCAGTAAGGTTGGTTCTTGAGTCTCAGTCCCTGGGATGTCACCCAATCAGGACTGAGAACACAGTAATTTTGCTTTTATACTTGAAAGCAGGTATTACACAAAATCGATGTGATCTCGTGCCCGATGAAATTTAAAATTGTATATGTCAGTTTCTTTTTCTTTTAAGATTTTTTTTATTTATTTGTTTGAGATAGAGAGTGAGAGAGAGAGCATGAGCCAGGGGGCAGAGGGAGAGGGAGAAGCAGGGTCCCCACTGAGCAGGGAGCCCGACGCAGGGCTCAATCCCAGGACCCCGAGATCAAGACCTGAGCCACCCAGGCACCCCTATCTGTCAGTTTCTAATAAGGTAGCAGATGATGTATTGCAAGTGATTTCTGAATAAATGTTGAAATATTTCAGTACAAAAGTCCATGAAGTATACAAAGTAAAGGAATAATATGCAGAACTAGCATCATCTCTTAATAAAAATGACCAGTACTTGAGGGGTGCCTGGGTGGCTCAGACTCTTGATTTTGGCTCAGGTCATGATCTTATGGTCATGAGATTGAGCCCTGACATCAGGCTTCGTGCTCAGTGCAGAGTCTGCTTGAGGATTCTCTCCCTCTCTCTCTGCCCTTACCCCCCACTTGCATGCATGCTCTCTCTTTCTCTCTCAAAATAAATAAATAAATCTTTAAAAAAAAATGTCCAGTACTTGAAACCAATCGAATACTAAGCACTGGGAGTCGCTACTGTTGACAGTGACCTCCTAATAGCTTGGGGATAATGTAGACGACCGCTTTATACCAGGAACATGAAAGTGTAATATAATAACGAAACTGGCAAGGCAAGGAATTCAAACAACTCGAAGCTCATTGCGTATATGGAATGGTGATCTAGCTCAGCGGGTCAGGAAACTAATCCAGCTCTCTACCTGTTTTCGTTAATGAAGTTTGTTTGGAACGAGGTCATGCTCACTTGTTAATGTGTTACGAAGAGTCACTTCTGCACAGTAGCGGGGGTGAGTGCTTGCCACACAGGCCATATAGCCTCCCAAGCACAGCCTATGGTGTTTACTATGTGACCCTTTCTAGAAAAAGTTTTTACCGATTTCTGATCTAGAATGAGGCTGAGGCCATTTCCGCCTCCAGTAGTTCAGAAATGCTCGGTGGGCTTTCATGGCCTCCTTCTCTCCTACCACCTGCGTGGTGCAAGCTTTTTGAAGATGGGCAGTCCTTCCGGGAGAAGTCAAGGAAGGCCCAGGAAGCATCCGTGGGACCCTGGGCCTCACTGTCATGTTCTCTCCACTTCTGGAATGTAGGGGGAAATAAATTTGAAGATATTGTGTAGTTGGGGTCGTGTTTGGACACAAATCCGATGTCATGTATTCTCTTCATCTGTTGGTAGTTGGTGGGATGCAGGAGACTGTACTCACGGTCACTGGTAAATCTGTGAAAGAGGTGATGAAGCTGGACGATGACGAGACCTTTGCCAGATTTTACCGCAGCATGGATGACACTGTGCCTCGAAGCCCCGTGGAGCTGGACGAGGATTTCGATGTCATTTTCGATCCTTATGCCCCTAAGTGAGTTATTTCAGTTTCCATCTTTCACCACTGAGAATGGCTGGTTCCTTCGTCAGCCTTCACACGGTACCTCTACGAGGATCTTCTCTCGCTGTCACCGCCTTCTGCCGTAGACCTTCCTTACAGACACATGATTATTCTCTAGAGCCAGACACGTGAGGTAGATAAAACACGTGCGCTCCAGAACAGATGTGCGCTCGGGCAGAAGGTCGGTGAACACAGCGTGTGCCACGGATGTTTGCCCTGGTCCATAAAAGTAATGTCACTGGATTGTTCACATAACTGAATATTGTTTTGCAGATTTTTAGATGAACATAAATTTAGCGAGAGGTCTCTATACTGTCTTTCATTTGACATGTTGAACTCTTACTCGTAACTTTGAAAAATATTTGGATCACATGGGCTCAAACTCCTACAACGAACTAGAAAATCAATACAGCGTGTTCCTTAACTTACAATAATTCATGAAATGAATAGATCTGAGAGCCTTCTCAGTGATGACCAAGGGTCGCTCTTCACCCAGGGTCATGACTAAACCACCTCAGGAAAGCAATTATGGTTTTAGGATTCCTTCAGTTGCAGGTGCCAGAAAGAAATCCAAGTCAAACGGACTTTGGCAAAAGAGAGGTGTGGAGCGATTTGTAGGTTCACTCACTGAAAGGTGAAGGTGTGAACTAGGTTCCAGGGGCTCCTCAGAATGAGTTCTCTTCTCTTGCCGCTTTTCCTTTGGGCTGCTTTGCTGCAGCCAAGCTGTAACCATGTGGCGGACAATGGCCACCCCAGCTGTGGATGTTTCGGCTACCTACTCTGCCATTCCAGCACAGACAGCTTCTCTTCTCACAGTTCCCTCCAGCCCAAGTTCCAGGCTTGATTTTCTAGGGCCCGAGCCCAGCCCTAAAGCAATCACAGTAGCCAAGGGGACAGAAGGTGCTGACTGGCCAGAGCTGGTCTCTGGATGCCCCAGAGCCAGTGTCGAGGTTTTCCTACCAGAAGCCAGGGAGAGTATACACTGGGCAGGCTACGCCCACAGCCATGGACCACATTTGTCTCTTCCAGAAGACTGTGGGGTCATCATACATTTTCCTGTAAGCTGCTCCAAATACATTTTTTGCATATTTCTCATTTTTTTCAGTTTTTCTCAATTTTCTATCTTAAAAAATGAACAGTTTGCCATTTCCCGCCTTTAAATGAAATTTTGTGTATTTGCATACACAGGCATTTAACCATTTCTCATCTTCTCCCAACCCAAATGTCATTGCTTAAATCGTTATATCTATAGAGCTATATCTATGTTTATAAACACACTCTCACACGGAGGACCATATTATATATAATAGCACAGAGGCCATGCAGTTGGAAATTGAGAGCAGGAGTGGAATCTGTCAGGAAACCATGTGACTGGATCGCCTACCTCCCCATGTCTGGTCTGCCCCCCAGAGAGTTGTGTCAGTGTATGAAGTTATAGCTGGCTTCTTGGACCTGTTTTATTTCAATATATTCTTCAAAGCAGTGGTTACTTTTCAGAAAGGTGCAAAGGGTTGAGAGGAGGCTAGTTGTGGGGGAGTTCCTAAGGAAACTGAAAACCAGTTGTGTAAAAAGAACCTTTAGTCTGGAGGAAAGAGAAATCGAGAAGCAATGACTGGCTGTAAATTCTTGAAGGGCTCCCCAGGGACAGAAGAAGTAGACGTGTGTAATATTCCAACAGGAGAAGTAGGAGGAGTTCATGGGTGTGATAAGGGTGAGGAAGAACTTCCTACCCTGCAGAGCTATCCAGTAGTAGAATGAGCTGTCCCATGTAGGACCAGATGCCCCTCCAAGCAGAAACCACAGGGTGTGGTGTGGGCGGTGGGGAGCCTCTGGGATCTTAGACTAAATGGGCCTGAATCCCCCATCTCCAAGATTCTTTGTCTCCATGTCAGGGAGTGACAGGCAGGAGAAGGAACTGTACGACTTACAACGAAATCAGGAAATAAAATGGTAGAGACTGTTATTTCAGGTCAGAGACCCCCAAATAAAGCAGGCGTGGAGGCTATGCAGACCAAGGCTACAACTCCACTTTGCTCCCCAGGTTGACCTCCTCTGTGGCCGAGCACAAGCGCGCAGTGAGGCCCAAGCGTCGGGTTCAGGCTTCCAAAAATCCCTTGAAAATGCTGGCAGCCAGAGAAGATCTCCTTCAAGAATACACGGAGCAGAGATTAAACGTTGCCTTCATGGAGTCGAAGCGGATGAAAGTAGAAAAGAGTGAGTATGTGAAACCACCACCACCCCGCCTCTGTGTTGGGGTCTGGTGATTAGGTGATTTTAATCATCTTTTCTGTCTTGCTAAGGCCAATCATGTGTTCAAAAGACACCCATCAAATAAAAATGAGTAAGTTTGCACACACACGTGCACACCCGCCTGGAATGGAAAGGATTTTCACAGAAATTCTTAGAGCGTGGAGCGTCTGTTCACTTTGTTAATTTAAATTATCCTGTTTTGCTGAGTTTTCTTTCAAGAGATTGGAGGAGAAGGATGCTTCTCAGCTTTGTAGTTCAACCCATTTTCAGCTCTGTAGAGCCCAAACACAGTAATTCCCCACTTAATCTTGTTCGAGAGCAAATCATGTGATCCCTCATGAGAAAATGTCCCAAATTACTGCTTTTCCTAACCCTGGATTTTCATATTATTAGTTAATGCATAAACCAATGCTTTCCAAATTGCATTTAACAGGAGCCTCAGGAACCTCGGAACTGGGGATGTGGACTGGGTAGCGTTGGGGCCTTGGGGTAGAGGTGGTGAATAGGAGTGAGGAGGTAGCTCTGTGCTCTGTGTCCCATTTCAGGCTAAGCTGCTCTGCTCTCCTCAACCTGATAAGGTGGGGTTCCCTTGTTCTGAAACAGTGGTTTTCTTGATGGAGGTAATTAGGGCATACACCATTTGCCAGCTTGAATAGTCTTGCTATAATTTGTATTTTAGCACTCAGAAACCTACTTCCAAAAGTTTTTCTTAGAAATATAGCATTTACATGAAGTAGTTGAGTCTTTTCATTATAACTGATTGATTAAGAAAATATATTTCAAAACTTCTGTGCCATATGAATTGTCAAGTAGTGTAAGACCCTAATCCCAGCAAAATAATTTTCTGAATTTCTCTCTAGCACAGACATTTTTTAAAAACAATCAGTTGAAGAAATAAAGGCTTACTGGCACAAATTTTAGGTATTTTTCCTCTGCCTCTGCTTTTGGGGGCCTGGGGATGGCTTTGTGATGATTGACATGTACACATTTGTTGGTGTACATGGAAAACCCAGCATCTTGTTACAACAGTCTTAATTCTGAGAGCGGAAGACCTCAAGATTATCTAGTTGATCACTTTGCCTCCAGGAAAAAGATTAGGACTAACCACATCCCTACAAGAGTGCCTGCTTTTCTACGTATAAAGACTTTTATTGAAAGACCTCTCATAGTCTTCCTTGTGAGTGCGTTTGCATTAACAGCTAAACATTGTTAGGAATCATATCAGCTTTCAGTGGAATTGCAACACGTGTGTCCAGCTCTTGATTTTATACCAAAATAGCTGGTCCACACTGTCCCTCGATTCTTGTCCCCCTGCAAGGTGAGGTGTGACATGTGTCCACAAGCAGCTGATACTTTCAGTACAGAGTTAAATCCTGAGTACAGTGGCTCAGCATTGGGCTGCATCATCAACCAAACCTGAGCATGTTCTCCCCCTCGGGATTGACTTTCTGAGAAAAAGCAAGTCGATGATGAATCTCTGATTGTAAACATTGTCATTTCACCTGCCCATCTTGCCCCCCCACCGTTGTTTCTTTATTCACCCCTCCCAGTGTCCTCCAACTCCAACTTCTCAGAAGTCACTCTGGCAGGTTTAGCCAGTAAAGAAAACTTCAGCAACATCAGCCTGCGGAGCGTCAACCTGACCGAACAGAATTCCAACAATAGCGCGGTGCCCTACAAGAAGCTGATGCTGTTACAGATTAAAGGTACTTAGGAGCCGGGGAGAGGAATCACATGTGGCTCAGGGGTTTGAGTCTGCTAACACCAGGAGGTCTGACTATAAGGGGGAGGGAACCTACTGTGGGCTGGGCGCTACGCCACCTCCTGTCACGTAAGCTTCACAAATCCCATGAGGTGGGAGATGTGACGCCCAGTGAGGCTTGGAGAGCTTAGTGACGTGCCTGAGGTCACAGCGGCTGTTGAGTGGCAGAGCTGGATTTTCATCCAGGTCTTCCCCATTCCAGAAGCTCAGCTTCTGCTGCCACCTCCCCTTGCCCCCTGAGCCCCGCCACCACGCTGTCATGCAGTTCCAGATGCCCCCGAAGTCTTCGTGGTGGCTTCTCCACTCGCTCCTCGCTGAGGTGAGCAAGGTCAGTGTGGGCCAGAGGCAGAGATGCAAGTTCTTGGAGAAGGAATCCAGGGAAAGCAGAGGCAAGTGAAGCCGACCTAGATTTCCACTCTAGCACCCCCTCTGTCAATAGCAAGGGAGACGACCAAAGAGGCCGTGAGCTATGAGGAAAGACTTAGCTGCCTCTAGAGTACTCAGCAAGAGGAGGCTGCATGGAATATCCTTCACGGAGGGTGTCCCGTGTGTTTCTGCATGACCACTGGCCTTTTTAGTGCATTCGGACTAGTGACAAGCATAGACACCCAACATCTAATCCCGAGTTCTGACCCCGAGATGACACTATCAGTGTGACTGTGGAGAGGCCTAAATCAACAGTCATTTAGGAGAAGGTGTGGAAAGCAGCACAAAGCAGTGCTTTCCTCCAGGCTGACTCCAAGACTGCCCTGGGTTTAGCGTGCAAACCCCCAGGAAGAAGATGCTGTGGGAAGGCATGCCCTCACCTGCGGTGTGGCTAGCAGGGGCTATGGAATGCAGGAGGTGGGCTGAGCGCAGAGAAAGGGACCAGGAGAGGAGTTGAAAGGGGGAAAGGAGCACGTCTGCTAACTTACCTGGAGGAGGGAACCTAATTAATCCACACATGTGCTGTAAAAGGACTCCAGTGGTGGTCCTAAGACGCATGGTGACATTTAGGAAAGCACTAACAAGGGAGACTGATCTAGAAGGCTGTCACCAGAAACCCCCTTCTACCACTCTGCATCATGGAGCCGGTATCGGCCGACGAGAATCTTTAGAATTGCAGGAGTCTGGAGCAGGGCTGCTTCCTGGTCCTTCCTGTGGCTTGGAGAGTTCCCCTCTCTGGGAAGGTGGTGACGCTTTGCCTCCTGCCTTACAGGAAGAAGACACGTGCAGACCAGACTGGTTGAACCTCGAGCTTCGTCACTCAACAGTGGGGACTGCTTCCTCCTGCTCTCTCCCCATTACTGCTTCGTGTGGGTAGGAGAGTTTGCAAATGTCATAGAAAAGGCGAAGGTTGGTATCTGAGAAATAAAAATTGTTCAGTTAAGCATCTCCTTTACACAGCAATAGAAAGTTCTACCAGTTGCTAGATCTTTACAAGGCTTCTCAGACGCCAAATGTTTGATTCAAGTGAGGAGGGAGAGGCAGTATTTCTTTTGCTGAATGTCTCTCAAACAAGCATTCATTAGGTGCGTGCATGCGTGGGATGTTTTAGAAGGATTATGACCTATCTCATCAGTTTTTAAGTCCTATTCTCACCCCTGTGTGAAAAAGGAACTGGCACATCACTTCAAAGCCATTTATCCCAGGTACCCATGAAATGCTGCTATAGGCTTATTGAATGAGAATCTCATGGGCAGAAGCCCAGAGAATGGGTATTTCTCCAAAACTTCCCAAGTGATCTGTTGAATTTGAAAATAAAGAGCTGTTGCTGTAGAGAATTGTACCCGTGGTCCTTGAGTTCCATTCTTCTGACCTTGCTGAAAATGCCCAAGAACTAGGGCCTGCGGCCCCTGTGGTCACATGGTCTCCCTTGCAGACCTGCCATTTTTCCCCTCCGACTTCAGTATGTGCCACTCTGCCTCACCACAGGCTTGTCTGCCTAGCTAATTGTGCTCCTCCTCCCTTTCTCCAGGCCTCAGAACTTGCAAGTTTAATTCAGACAAAGAGGGAACTTGGTTGTAGAGCTACTTATGTCCAAACTCTTGAAGAAGGAATTAATACACACACTCATGCGGCCAAAGACTTCTGGAAGCTTCTGGGTGGCCAAAACAGCTACCAGTGTAAGAGTTATTTCAGAGAATCTTGAGACTTTTCTTATTCCCTACTTCATTCTTCTAAACCGGCCACCTTTCAGGGTAAAATGTCATACTGTCTTGTTGTTCTCATCCCAAAGCTGCTGGAGACCCAAAAGAAGACGAACTTTACGAAGCTGCCATAATTGAAACAAACTGCATTTATCGTCTGGTGGATGACAAACTTGTCCCTGATGATGAGTACTGGGGGAAGACTCCCAAGTGCTCCCTTCTGCAGTCAAAAGAGGTACAGTGTGTGGGGGCCACCCTCGCCAAGAGAGCACTTTGCACGGGGCTGCCCAATAAAATCGGTCTGAAGTGCCCGAGAAATGCTGGCCAGTGGTCCTGCCTGGTCTTGAACAGTGACCTATTTTTAAAGTATATTTACTTGTGAATTCAAACCATCACTCCATCTTAAATACAAGGATAGAATTCAGAATATTGCTCAGAGGAGGCATGTGTCAGGCTTTTCTGTTTTAGGCAAAATGTAATTTTTTCTTTTTTTTGTATTTTTGTTGTATTTTTTTTCTTTTCATATCTGTATGAGGTGATGGATGTCAACTAAATTGTGGTAATCATTTTGCAGTATATATATATAAATCAAGTCATTATGCCTTATACCTTAAACTTATGCTATGCTATGTGTCAAGTATATGTCAGTATAACCAGAGAATAAAATGTAAATAGTCCTTAGCCCTATCTCTTCATTTTTCTATAAACATTAAATGAAGTTTTTTCAGTCCTTAAGTTGCAGGAATAATAGATGCATGTTTATATAATTTGGGTTTGCCAAATTTGCTTTTTTCTCTCACACCGGTAAATGATTACTAAATACATACATTGTCATTACCATTCTGTATTTTATATGTGTTGCGAAAAAGTGGAAAAGAACAAACGAACCTTAAATTTCTTTGGATAGAGGAGTATTAGAAAGAATGCGATCCAAAGCAAGGTGGATTGTATGACATGCGTGGGCAATTAAATGGAAAAACGAAATCACAGAAAAGAAATAATCAGGAGTAATTTTAAAGAGAAGGTGCAATTGAGCCTAGTTGGGAGTTGAGTAGGATTTGGATTGCTGGACATGAAGGAAGAGATTAGTCTAAGAGGAAAGAGTCGAATAAACCACAGGCATGGAAATAAGAAATAGCATTACATTCACGTATCCACTCAGCAAACCCATAGTAAAGTCCTGTAAATGCAAGTACGGTATGGTCTGTGCCCTGGAGGGTGCTGGAACTGTACGGAGGGGCGACCACCTCCCTGGTCCTCAGGGCCTGGCATTTAAGAAGTGGCCTCTGTATATGCTCAGTGAATGAAAGAACAAAGGAGGGAGACAGAGAGAAAGAAAGGAAAGAAGGCAGGTAGGAAGACACAGTTAAACAACTCGCCACGGAGTTTGCGAGTTCAGGACAAGAGGGAAATGAGGGCCACAGGGCAGAGGCTAGCGTGGCAGGGCCTCGCCAATGGTCACACCCATCCCACTCGATCAGTACACACCCTCATTCAACCGGAGCAGGACCTTGACGTTGACCTGTTCTTCTCTGCCGTCTTCCCAGGTACTGGTGTTTGACTTTGGTAGTGAAGTGTACGTGTGGCATGGAAAAGAAGTCACATTGGCACAACGGAAAATAGCTTTTCAGCTGGCAAAGCACTTATGGAACGGAACCTTTGACTACGAGAACTGTGACATCAACCCGTTGGATCCGGGAGAATGCAATCCGCTTATTCCCAGGTATTCCCGTCATGTGCCGATGGTGTGGAAGAGCGCGTGCAGGTTCCCTCAGCGGGCCCGAGTCCCCACCACGCTCCCCTACTGTCACTCCTCGTAGGGTTTCCTTTTCATCACTGACTGCAGGCAGTAGCCTGAATGTTCACAGAAAGAACACTCCCTTAGCTTTTGCCTAACTGATGCAGGACTATGGATGCTGTCATCTTCTGGACGCTGTGTTCAGTCTCCTTCCTTGAGGTGAACAAATTGTTCCCACCTGCGGCATTCCAGGTGCTGTCCTGGCAGATGAGTAGCAATTGTTGAAACAAATTACATGCTGATCTGAGAAGCTTCCCAGGACCTGGAATTCCGCCACTGATCTGAAGGTGCAAAAGCAACATATTTCCTTCTAATTTCACACCTTCTCAGTATAGCTTTTGAATTCCAGGATTTGCCATTTATTGGGCAGTAGGTGATGTCTGTGCCTTTCGGGGGGCAGGGAGTGAGAGGGAGGATACTGTATTGAAATAATGATTGTAATTTTAGTATTTCCTACTGGGAGTAGATGAGTGAGCACCTAACCCGTTGGTTCTCACCATGTTGCAGATCAGAATTACCTGAGAAGCTTTAAAAAAAAATGCACATACCAGGCCCAGCCCCAGCGCCAGCCCCAGCAATGTAGTCTCGATTCGTGTGGGGTGGGGGTTATGTGTTGGGGGTCTTAAGAGCCTCCTCAGGGCTCCTCTTAAGGGGCAGCCAAGATTAAGCACTGAGCCTTTCCTACCAGATGAGGGGCTGAAGCACTGAGGTGTCCAGACTTAGCCCAGTTCAAACATGGAAGTCATCCTGAGGGAAGACGTTCGCCAGCTCACCCCACAACCCACTGCCTCTCATGCTTGCTTGGCTCCCACCATAAAAGATCATTGTCTAAAGCTGAAAGCAAGTCTCCTCCGATAGGCATCCTAGCAAGTCTGCAGAGTAAAATTTATATAAAAAATGGTCATTCAGACATTTGCCGTGAAAGACCCCAGCCTTGCAAGGGAGTCCTGAATTCCCCAGAGTGGCTGGTACTTGGTTCCCAGAGTCCTGGAAGAGTACGAGGTGGAAGTGTTTGTGTACTGTACTTCACCCCGGCAGTCTCCCCAGGAACAGGCAGCCCCCTTGATGTGCCCTAGCTGTGACGTCAGAACCATAGTCCTGACGAAACAGGAAGTGATGGAGCGCAGAACACAGCAGGGCCCAGTGAGCGCGGCTCAGCATCCCAGGCTCCATTCACAACCAAAGCTTGATTTGGGAGGATGAGCAATACCCACACGAACCCTCTGCAGCCACCATTTCCTCGACTCTGCCTGTTTCTGAGTTACCAGTGTTAGGAACAGTTTCAAGTTCTGAGATCCTGAGGCGGGACCAGGCCTCCAGGTTGGGCTGTGCCACTTACCTTTCTGTGCCTTTGTGCTCCCCCTCCCCCAGCCCACTGTCATGTCTGGTGGCCTGGAAATAAATATGCAGATATTCTCTTTATGATCTATGGAAGTATGCTCATTTTAGTAACAGGAGAATTTCATCTGTTCCTGGACACCGGAGAGCTTTGTTGTAACAGGACTTAACAGAGAATTCAGGATGAGCTCTGCCTCCCTCCCATCGACCCATTAAAGTGACAGACACGTGGTGAGCACCTGCAGGGGACTCTGAGTGCATGGAGCAGGCGAGGAGCAGGCGAGGACAATGTACATGTGGCTCCTGCCTTCTCCTAGCTCCCGGTCTAGTATACCACCCCCAGAGGATCCCAGATACAAGAATTTGCTAGAAAGAAAGAAAAGTCCAGTCCAGATGGGATTCACATCCCATTCAGGCACATCAACTCCATGCACACAAAGCCTTGCTAGGCATCAGGCTGAAATACTAAAATATCACTCATCCGACAACACGAACCACTCATTCTCTATACCACTAATGTATTCTGAGTTGTTTTCAGTAGCCATGGGTGTCGGTTTTCGATTCCTTTCCTTTGCTCTCGCATGGCTTAATCTCGGTTCTTTTCCTGTCTCCTCCCCCACCCACTCACTCTTTCAGAAAAGGACAGGGGCGACCTGATTGGGCAATATTCGGGAGACTTACAGAACACAATGAGACTATTTTGTTCAAAGAGAAATTTCTCGATTGGACTGAGCTGAAGAGACCTAATGACAAGAGCGCCAGCGAACTTGCCCAGCAAAAGGTATTTTTGGCAATCAAGTCTTAAACCTCAGGCCTTGGTTGAGGTCCCGACAACAGAGGCCTTGAAGCTTAAAAGCCTTCCCGGGGTTTACTGGGAGACAGCAAACGGGTTTCCAGTTATATTCTACCTTCCCGAGGTGAAGTAGGCCTGCCCGTGCCTCCGGGTTTACAGGCGACCCATTCGCTGTCACGGGGGGCTATTCAGGCCTCCGTAGTCTTTCCCCGAAATGCAGTGAAATGCCGGACAGAGCTGGAAAGCCTGACTTTCTGAAACAGCAGTGAGTATGACAAGAAATGGCTGTAGGAACAGGCCCCTGAACCAACACTCTACGTTCCCTCGTAGGATGATCCTAGGGCCGAAGCCAAGCCGTACGATGTGGCGCGGATGGTGGTGGTGCCCCAGGTGACAACAGGCACCGTGCTGGACGGGGTGAACGTGGGTCGCGGCTACGGCCTGGTGGAAGGGGACGACAGGAGGCAGTTTGAGGTTGCCAGTGTCTCGGTGGATGTCTGGCACATCCTCGAATTTGACTACAGCAGGCTCCCCAAACAGAGCATCGGGCAGTTCCACGAGGGAGACGCCTATGTAGTCAAGTGGAAGTACATGGTGAGCACCGCAGGTCAGTGAGCACTTCCGTTTTCTTCACGCAGACGCGGGCCCGGGAGGGAGCACTTCTTAGAGCCCCTTCCCCGTGCACGCTGCCTTACCATCAGCCGCGGGGACAGCACGCCAGTCTGGTCCTTCGCTTTGAGAACCACTTAGTCAACCTTAAGGATGGATCCTGATGAGCTAGCATTGCTAACGAATGTCATGTTTCCTTAGAGAAGTTAAGGTTTCTCTGCTCCCCCCACTCCCTCCCCTGCCCCGTCCCCAGAGGTTCTCTGGGAAAGTGATGATTTGCCTCCAAATGATATTTGCCATGTGGCTGTCTACTGCTTAAATGAAAGTCTTAAGTGAAGCCTATCTGGATGACTGAGAACTGCAACCAAATGGTGTGGTAACGCACAAAAGATTTATGAAAAATAAAAGAAGCTATTTCCTCTGAGGCTGGGAGCATTAACACGCTCTGTGGATCGGGTAGAATAAATACATAGTCAAACTGCTCGTGGTTCCTGTCGGTGAAATACTCAAGCAAAACACTCAGTTGTGTGCTTTGCACGAGAGGTAGTGAGGGAGGAGAGCCAGTGGACTTTGGAGGGAGAACCCCTTTTCCCTGCCCAGAAGTAGCCAGTTCTCGGCAGCGTCCCTCAGCCCCGCCATTTAGGAGTTTGTCGCAACCTTGTGATTTCGAGATTCAGCCCCCGGGAGTTTATTCACCTCTCAGACAGCCTCTTTGCTGACCAGCTGTGGCTGCCCCAGGGCCCCAGGCAGTGGAGGCTGTGGTCTGCTGATGAGACGCCCGCAGACTCAAAACCAGTTGATTTCTTTCCTAATTGATCAAAAGTAAGTCTGTTAATCACCTGGTGGCATTTACTGAGCACCTAATCTGTCTTCTGGGCATAAGACACTTATTTTAGGGAGTAGGTAAATCCATCCGGCCCTGCCTTCAGGAAGCATATAGCATAAATGCCAATAAGGCAGGTGTGGGTGAAGCAGCGACGTCATGCCGCGGGAGGACAGCTGGGTTCCCCAAGGCGGGCTCTGCTGGCGGCCAGTGGATCGGAGGCTGCACCCAGGGCTGTCGGGGGATGCCCCCGGCCTGGAGGCCCACCTGGCCCACAGCACACGAGGCACAGCACTGGGGGCTTTGCTGCACACTGTCCTTGAGTGCCTCCCCGAGGCGCCCCGGGATGTACCGTGTCGTTCTGCTGATTTCTCAGTAGGGCCCCCACCCAAAGTCACACGGGGAGTAGAGAGCAGATTAGGACACTGAAAGCCCCCTTCCCATTCATAAGGAGGCCCTAGGACTTGGAGGAAAGGCCACAGGTCCTGGGGCCATACAGCCTGCATCTTCTCTCAGGCCCTACATACCAGCTCTGCAAGGTGGGTAAAGTGAATTAGCCTGTCTGAGCTTCGGTGTTCTCACCTAGAAAAGACGGCAGATAACCCAGCTCACAGATTATTATAATCTTTTTTTTTATTTTATTTTATTACGTTATGTTAGTCACCACACATTACATCATTAGTTTTTGATGCAGTGTTCCATGATTCATTGTTTTCGTATAACACCCAGTGCTCCATGCAGAACGTGCCCTCTTTAATACCCATCACCAGGCTAACCCATCCTCCCACCCCCCTCCCCTCTAAAACTCTGTTTGTTTTTCAGAGTCCATCGTCTCTCATGTTTACAATTATAATCTAATACGTATAATGTTTAGCATGTGCCTGACACAGAAATAATCGTCACTGATGTCCTAAGCAACACAAGCAAAATCACTGTGAATCACATGAATCCAAGATTTCTGAGGCCTTCAGAGACTATTCTCTTGGAGGCCCCTAAAAAATAATGATTTCGCCCAGGCAAATACTTTCTGTAAACACAATGCACATCTCACAGCCAGCTCCAGCAGCTTCTTTATGAGCTAAGTTACAACTCTGAAGAAGTCCAGCTGCAGAGCATTAAGTTAGAGCAGGGAGCATTCAGATCTCCAGACAGTCCCTCTGGGAGCAGAGAAGCATAGCCCAGTGGCATGAACAGTGGCCCCTTGGCCACTGCGGTCCAGCCCCTCATCACTCGTACCCCTCAAGGGCCGCACCTGCAAACAGGACTGAACTCGGAGCTCGGGAAGCTCTTCCAGGACAGGGTCAGCAGAAACCATTGGCTGTAGAGACAGGACAGTCATCCTCCTGGCAGACACCAGGCAGCCTGCACAGGCACACAGAGAAACTCCTTGGGGAGTGAACCGTGCACTCCAGGGAAGGGAGATGGAAGGCCTTGGCAGGTTGGGTCCTGCCCCAGTAACAGAGCCAGGCAGCTCCAGAGCATGATACATGCTCGAGCTGCCGTGAGTCGGTGAGCAGTAAATGGGATTCTGCTGCAAGACCACCTGACCAGGAGCAGTTCTTTATGTTCTTCGTGTCTTCTGTTACTCCTAAACACAGCTACTGGTCACAAACTGACTCCGGAAGGTATTTTGAGGCACGAGACATCAACACTTTAAATTAGCCATCTGATCAAGTCTATAAAGGTTACAGTCTGTAATGTCTTACTGATGAAAGCTGAATCTTTACTTTGCTAAAATTAAAAATAAATGGAATAAGAATTAAGTTGTGTGTAGGATTAAATTTGGGTATACTGACGAAAATTCCAAGGACAAATACTGAAAACTATTTTAAGAAAATATTTCTATTTTAGATATAGATACTGAAGTTCACATGAGGATGGTAGGTGGTAAAACACTGGTTATTATTGAAACCTGAATATATACTTACACAATGTACGTAAGTGCTAACAAATTTCAAGCTATGTATCAACTTCTGTGACCTGTTTTAAGCATATCTCTCCCCAGCTGACAGGACTAATTTTCACTACTTTGAAGAGTGGGATTTGCTAATCAAAGGCAAACTTTTGTTCCTATCTAAAGTAGCAGAAATTTCAAAGGAGTGGCTTCCAAACTAATTGTGAATATGCCTGACCTATTCATTGATGGTTTGTTTCTCTTTCATCTCATCCACTTAAAAATACATGAACTTGACCAGTTCAGGTCCACAAAAGACGGCACTGAAGGTTGTGCTTAGGCAAAGTGCTGTAAGAAGTATTATAATCGTTTATGGAAACTGTTTATAGAGTGCTTTGCTAAAGGGCCAAAAAAATCAAATAAATATGGCCCTGGCCTCCTAAGAACTTAAAATAAATGAGCTTTCTTCTTACCCTCAAACCTCAAGACAGCTGTGATGTTGTAGATGGGATTGGAGCTGAGAAAAACTGAGTTCATATAGAACCAGAGAATCCAGTTATCATCTTTAATTTTCAATAAGTGTGGGGGGGGGGGTTGGGGTTTATAACCGCCTGTTTTCTCCCCTTGTTGACCACCACTTTCTGGGACCACCCAGGCAGGCATCTGAGGTAACAGCTTAGTCTCCTGACCTCATTCATTCCAGAAGGGTCTGCCTGCAGGTCCTGTCCTCTTGTCATCGGTCACCTCCTCAGAGAGGCCTTCCCTCAACAGGGAATCCCATCGGTACTCACCCTGCCCCAGGTCACGTCCCCCCGTCTGTCTTCCTCAGAGCACTTGGGACTATCTGAGACTGTCTTGCTCATCTGTTGGTTGAATGAGAGCAGGGGAGCAGTCCGTCTGGCTTAGCCTGATAATCGGGAAGAGTCCCCGGCACACTGTAGGTGCTCGGGGACTATCTGCTGAATGAATGAATGAGTGGAGTCTGGAGTGCGGTATATACCCTAAGAGTAGCGAGGCGAGGTCTAAAATATGGCCTTTTAAAGATGGCCCCTTGACCAGTGAACTTTCCGCGCCTGCTCTTCAGTGAGATCTGTGTCCTGGGTGCTGCTAAGGTTGACCGAGTCCCTCCAACCTGGCTGCCGTCCTGGGGACAGATAGGATTGAAATCCCAGATTCGTTTATGAAAGTGATATGTCAGCAATAGATCTCTTCCATTTCTGACAGAATTTGGAAACTTCAGAGTGGTGTTTTGTTTTGTTTTGTTTTGATTAGAATCGTTTTCACAGACTAAACTTTTCCCTTTGTGCTTAAAGCTGGCCCAGCTGTTGTTCTCAATATCTTTTCTCTACCAGCTAATCTTTTGCCCAAAAAAATGGCGTGATACGGAAAATGCGTTTGTGTCTTTGGGAGTCCTGCTCCGGCAGCCACCATTCTTCTCTGTCACATACTTGGAGATCTGCCGCCTTCCTGTAGGATGACAGGTGTTTTTCTCAGGGTATCAAGAAGGCGAGATCATTTTTTCTCCAATTTGGAGGCTCGGGATCAGTTACCGGGAAGAAAGATGGTTTTTCTCCTCAGCCCCAGGCCCAAAAGCTATTTCTTCTGATTACTCCGCCCTTGTGGGTTCTTTGTGTTTGCAGTGGGAAGTCGACAAAAGGGAGAGCACTCGGTACGGGTGGCTGGCAAAGAGAAGTGTGTCTACTTCTTCTGGCAAGGCCGGCAGTCAACCGTGAGCGAGAAGGGCACGTCGGCTCTGATGACGGTGGAGCTGGATGAGGAGAGGGGTGCCCAGGTAAGTCCTGGGAAGTGGCTGCCCCAGGGGAGGAGAGACTTGGCCTTCCTGCGGAGCCCCCGGGGTTGGGGCCGGGTCCCCTGAAGAGCCAGTCCAGTGAACAAAGACCGCATCATGCAAGGGACGCTTAGTCCTGGCTGGCTTCCCCAGATTCCAGGCTGGGCCTCCACTCCCACCTCCCCACCGCCTGGCCGGGAGTCATGTGCTCTTAAAGGAGATGTTGCATCTGCAAATAGTAAATCCACAAATCAAGTACAAAGTGCCAGTGAGTGGTTTGGTTTTTTTTCTTTTTTTTAAGTTTCCACTTGACTAATACTCAAGGAATGGTAAATAAAACAAAGAGATGCCATTTTCCACTTCTAAAACTGCTGGAGGTTTTATAAAGAATGGGTCTGAGGCTGGTGAGGATTTTTAGCAGGATGCTTCCATTGGGAAGGATAGCTTGAAACAGCCATCCTGAAAAGCAGTTTGGCTCAAGAACCTTAAAAATCCTCATAAACTCTGATCACTTTTTCCACTTACACAAATCTGTCCTAGGGAAATATCAGAGATTAACATAAAAATTAGGATTCCCATCATCTGCATCCCTCACAGCAGCCTGAGTGCCTTTTTTCTGGATCCTGTCAGATCATGTCATTCCCTTGTTCTCCAGCACACTTAGACCGCAGTCCCAGCGTTTTCCTGGTGGTGCGCCTCCACCTTCGTGGCAGGCCACTGCACCCCCCAGCCCTCTGTCTTGCACCATGGCCGGGGCTAGTCTAGGCTTCTTTGCCACTGCTCAGACCTCTTTCCCTCTACCCCAGGGCCTTTGCACAATTTCCCATTCCCAAAAGTTCCTCTGTATCCACAGTAACTTTCAACCTCAAGATTCAGATAGCTGTTCAAATGTCACCTATTTTATCCAAATCCCTTCCTATTCTCTGTCCTGTTACTCTGTTTTATAGCACTTACCATTCTTACCACTACTTAAAACTACATAATCAAGTTGTCATTTTGTTTAAACTTTGAATACGTTGTGTTTACTTATTTATTTTCTGTCTTTCCCTGCAAGCATGAAAGAGACAGTGCGTGCTGGTCTTCTCCACCACTGTAACCGCGGGGCCTGTTTAATGCCAGTGCCAAAGCTTTGTAAACAGTACTTTTTGATGTTCGGATTATCTTTGCCTCGGGTCCCACCCTTTAGTAATTAAGAGTTGACTGTGGGGTTTTGGGGAGAACATGATGCCATGTGCAAATATCTTCAGGACCTCGGATGAGTAGTTAACAATAGCACCAGGGAAGAGAACAGGTGAATTTTCTCCAGAATAGATCAGCACTCACTTTTAGCCTTCTAAGAGCTGCTCCTCTTCCCTAAAAAATATATATTTCCTACTGTAGACCATATAATAATTGTAAATAATTGTTAGAGACCACTGCATTTTAATTTTTTCTTAATTGTGGGTCATTTCAACTGCCTTTTTAATTTTTGTAAAGGCCATGTTTTAATCATGCCTTCAAAATCCGCCTTAGAATTTTGAGTCTTAACCTCTCTAGTTTGAGCATTGCATTTTTTTTTTTTTTTGTCAAGCCAACAGGTGTAAGAACACTCCAGACCTATAAAACACTGCCACAAAATGGCACTTAATTATGCAGAACGGGCCCTGAGCTTGGTTAACACTTGGTGGGAAATGCTTCCTACCTTTTGGTGTGCCTGGACGCCGGGCTCAGTCAACAGTTTCCTTGTTAAAGGAAAATGTCTAGCCGGAGTGAGAGTGAGTGGAGTCAACCCACACAGTTTATGAGCAGCTACCACCTGCTGGAACACAGTGGTTCACAGGCGAGGGTGAGGCCGTGGTCGGCAGGCCCACGGCGCTGTGAGTGGACTCTGGGCATGGTTGCAAAAGAGACTGTTCTTTCCCCCAGAATTACTAAGTGATCAGCCGTTCTCCTTGCCAAGAGGCAGACTTTGTTGAAAATGTGTTTAAATCAGTCATGTTACATCTATACCATGGAAATGTCAAAATTCATGTTTCAAGAGCCTTTGGTGACCGAAATACATCACGTGAAGAGAATCAGTATAAAGTAACATAAAACAGCAATCCTATTTTTGCCTGGGAAAGACATATACCTGAAAATACTTGGAAAGGAAAGCTAGGCCCTGGAATTTTTATGGTGGTTATCTTGAGATAATAGTATTATCACTGGCTTTTGTGTGCACTTCTTGATATTTTCCAGATTTTTTTTTACCATAGACATGTATTATTTTGAAGACTCTGGAAACCCAGTACATGTTACTTATTTGAATGTGTTTACGTTGAAAGGTCCAGGTTCTGCAGGGAAAGGAGCCCCCCTGCTTTCTGCAGTGTTTCCAGGGGGGCATGGTGGTGCACTCCGGGAGACGGGAAGAGGAAGAAGAAAATGCACAAAGTAAGTCACTTTACTATTGGAATTTGGTTTTTTCCCCTCTCCTGGAAGATATTTTTATACACAAGAGGGGTTAAAGTAAATGTCCTTTTATATAGGTGTGTCTTTACCCCTGAAAGCCTCCTAACGTTTGCCTTACAAATCAGCTGTATGGGGAGCTCATAGCGCCCCACCCCAACCCCAGTCCTGTGGAGTTTACTTCAGGATAGGACTTTGCATGCAGGAGGCTGACAGATGACTCCAACCTTAAACTGAATCCTCTCAGTGACTCAGTCTCTTCTTAAGAGGGAAACAATTCAGTGGGTCGTCCATTATAAATTATGAGATTTTGGGGGGCCAGCATCCAAAAAAAAAAAAAGTGCTTAGCGTCAGAGCCTCTTAAAATATGCCTGTTACAGGATTTACCTGGGTATTTATAAATTTGTAAAAATGGTCTTTCTACATCATGAACCTGCTTCTAACTTCAAAAGGATGTGCTTTCTGGGCCTGCAATAAGCTAGCTGCTGCCCGCCCCAGGCTGGGCCGGGCTGGGTGGTGGTGCTGGCTGGTGACTGCAGATGGAGGGCAGCTCTGGGCCTAACTCTGTGCCGCTGGTGCCCCCTGCAGGCGAGTGGAGGCTGTACTGTGTGCGAGGAGAAGTGCCCGTGGAAGGAAATTTGCTGGAAGTGGCCTGTCACTGTAGTAGCCTGAGGTCCAGGACTTCCATGGTTGTCCTCAACGTAAATAAAGCCCTCATTTACTTGTGGCACGGATGCAAAGCCCAAGCCCACACGAAGGAGGTTGGAAGGACTGCAGCAAATAAAATCAAAGAACAGTGAGTATTGTGCGTGGGCGCCTCTCCAGAAGGGGCTTCCCTGTGGGACACAGGCTAAGGTGGGAAGGATACCCAGTAGAAGCCCATAGAAACCCTGGTGTACTTAAAGATTTTTTATTTTTTATTTATTTATTTGAGACAGAGAGAATGAGAGAGCACATGAGAGGGGGGAGGGTCAGAGGGAGAAGCAGACTCCCCGCCGAGCAGGGAGCCCGATGCGGGACTCGATCCCGGGACTCCAGGATCATGACCTGAGCCGAAGGCAGTCGCTCAACCAACTGAGCCACCCAGGCGCCGAAACCCTGGTGTACTTAAAGTGACTTCAGCAGGGGGTAGTTATGAACCTCGTCAGCGCCTCTCGCGTTCCAAGCGGGTGTGACACACATCTCCCGTAAAACTGCTGATGTGAGGGCTTCCCCCACTTTCTGAGGATTTACCTGCCTCCATAAAAGGTGGAGTGAGGAGCAAGGGAAATGACCCCAACAAGTGCTTTAGTTTCTTTGTAGGTACAGTTCATCTTTTGAACGAAAAGCCTGGAGTCCTTAGTCATTTAAAGAGAGCAAATTTCAAATATCTTTCAGGGGTCAGAGTTTTAGTTCTGCCAGAGCCATGGAAAGTTAGAAAGCATTGAGCTGAAGAAGAGCTGGGGAGACCACCAACCAACCGTGTCCGACTAGGAGATGCCCCCTTTTCAGAGGACGACCGTGTTTCTGCATTCTCCAAGGCAGCCACCTGCCAGGGAGTGGTCGGCCTGCCTGGGCCAGTTCTGGGGCGCAGCACAGCAGGGGCTGGGGTTGGTTCCTGTCCCAGGCAGGCCCCCACACTCGGGCAGCTCCCCAAGGAAGCACCCAGTGCCGGTGCAGTACTCAAGGGCCACAGGGGGAGAGGGAAAACTGAAGCAGGAAGAGAAAGCCTGCAAGGGAGTGGGTTGTCCTGCGCAGTCACCGTCTAGAAGGGGCTGCAGCCCACGCCCAGCAGGCCCCGTAGACAGCCAGCTAGAGCCCAGCGTCACCCTGGCTTTCGGGGGACGCCTAGCGCTTCCTCAGGCTGAGACCCCGGGAGGACGGTGGTAACATCTGAACAGTAAAAGTGGAAAGTTTCCAGGGCCACAATATGCCACCGAAGTATCATTTGGTCCAATCCGTCCTCTGGGCCCCAGGGCAGTGCGGTGGGGACAGAGGTCCCTCGGGACCGTTTGCATAGCCAGCGCTAAGGAGAGCACGCAGGCCAGGGCCCTTGCCACGGGCAGCCAGCGGGGAAGCCAAGCGTCTCCTCTCCACACCCTGTTCTGTGCGCTAGGGAGCGGGGAGGAGTGATAACTGACCTTCACTGAGCTAGTCAAAGGCATCCCTGGTCCATCAGCTTTTCCCCTTGGACCACTGAGAAGAAACAATGAACTCATTCACTCATTCACTCAGCAGGTATGATTGAGCACGTACTTGGTGCCAAGCCCAGATTTAGGGACCAGGGACTTGGCTAGTGAACAAACCCAAGTCTCCGTCCCCGTGAAGCTTATGTTCTAGCAGGAGAGGACAAGGAATAGTAAGTATGTATGTTATATATAAAAATGTATATCACTTTCATTACATTTTATATGTAATCATACATCCTTCTCTAAGGGCCAAGCCAGTCCCTCTCATTGCCCCGCCCCCCCCCACACACACTCATAAACCACAGAGCACGTTTTCATTCATTAGTGAGAACTGTTTTAGTTAGAAAGTGGAAGAGAGATGGTGAACCGGTCCGTAGATTTAGTCTTGAATAATTTTGTACTGCCAACATGTCCAGGGCTTATAAAAAAAAACCTACTGGATTTTCTCCGTGCAGATGTCCCCTGGAAGCAGGACTGCATAGTAGCAGCAAAGTGACAATACACGAGTGTGACGAAGGATCCGAGCCCCTGGGCTTCTGGGACGCTTTAGGAAGGAGAGATAGGAAAGCCTACGACTGCATGCTTCAAGGTAATAGAACATTCCGTAGCCTTCCATCACTAATTTAGTCGATACATATTTATTGAGCCTGTATTGTGTACAACACCCAATGAATCAGACTGAGGCTAGGTCCTCACAGGCCTACCACCCAATAAGGATGCTAAATAATATGCAAGACGGGTATAATGCCAAATAAAACTTTAGTGTGTCATAAAAGAGGTACAAATGAAGGGGGCTGAGAGTTAAAAAGAAAAAAGATGAGTTCCACCAGGAAAATCATGCGTGGCCCCACAGAAGACAGGGCATTTAAACAGAGCCTTGAAGGTAAGCATGACTTGAAGAGAGGGAAGACGAAAATTCCAGGAAACCAGATGAGCAGTGACACACTGTGATCCTATGGAACAGGATGCTTTCGGTTTAGCCAGCTTCCTGGGTGCAGGGACACAATGGAGTTCAGATTAGAGAATAAGTCAGTTTTGTATTTAAATACACAAAATACAGATCAACTTCAATACAGATGAACATAAGGAGAGCTAACAAGTATTAAGCAGTTCAGGATGAGCCAGGCACCACCTAAGCACCTGATACACATCAACCCAGCACTCACAACCTAATGCCACCAGGTTTCTACCGATGAGGAAACTGAGGCACGGGGAAGTTCATCAACCTGCCCAGGGTTGAACCACAGTGAGATGTACTCAGAACCACCACTCCATTATACCACCTCTCAATTTTCATGAACTTTGATTTTTATTTATTTATTTTTTTGAGAGCGCCTTTGCACGCACACACGCAACAGGGGTTAGGAGGGGGGAGGAGCAGAGGGAGAGGGAGGGAGAATCTTAAGCAGGGGCTCCATCTCATGATCCTGAGATCATAACCTGAGCTGAAATCAAGAGTTGGATACTTATATGGCTGAGCCACCCAGGCGCCCCTATATGGTTTTTCTTAATAATGCATGTTGATGATGGAAAATGTTTGCAAGCAGAGAGCGGTTGAAAAAGAAACTAAGTCCCTTATAATCATCTCTCTCAAAGGTAACCAGAATTAACATTTCTCTATGTGATCCATACATATCTATATTTAAGAAAATTTTGGATTGCAGTATACAGTTTTGTAACCTGATTTTCCCCTTTATTATGAACAGTTTCTCAAGTTGTTCATATTTAGACTTTTGTGGCTGCAGGGTATTCCACGAAGATGCTATATGCCATTTTCTACTTAACCTGTCTTTTTTAGTTTAATTTTAGTTTAGAGAGCTGTTTCCAATTTTTCCTCATTATACAATAGAATTGTGGATAAATTTAAAATAAGTATCTGCATTTATTTCTAGTTAAAGTCCTAGATACAGAACTGCTATGGTAAAGGTAGAAAAGATTTAGAGTACATATCAACAACGGTGCCCCAGGACATTGGCACCAAGTTTCATTCTCACCAGCAATATACATACGAGAGTGTACATTTTCAGCACAGAGACTCGGTAGGTTACCTTTTCCTCTTGGCCAAAATTAGTGGGGCAAACTGATATCTAAGCACTGTTCTAACTTAATGTTTTAAATTGGAAGTACTGTTAAACACTATGTATTTTTTTTTTTTTTTAGTCATTTGTATTTCTACTTTGGTGAATGTTTTATTTTTGCCTTTTACACATTTTCATTGAGATATTTATCTTTATTATATTTCTTTATATACTAAAGATATTAACAAGTTTCCATATTTCTCATTGTGTCACTTGCCTTTTCACTTTGGGGTTTTTTTGCAATGAAATTTTTCATTTTTATACTGTCAACACATAAATCCATTCTCCTTTCACTACTTATTTTATAATTATGATTAAAAAGGCCTTCCCCACCTCCAAGTTCAGATAAATCTTACCTATCTTCACACTCATTTTTGGATTATTTTATGTTTTACCTTAATTCTCTAATCTATCTGGGATGTACTTGGGTGCCTATTTTGTCTTCAGCTTTGTTCTCTTTTCTTTCAAAGATCCTGGAAATTTTAACTTCACACCCCGCCTGTTCATCCTCAGCAGTTCCTCCGGTGATTTCTCAGCCACGGAATTCATGTACCCCGCCCGAGACCCCTCTGTGGTCAATTCCATGCCCTTCCTGCAGGAAGATCTTTATAGTGCACCGCAGCCAGGTACGACCGGCGGAAGGGGGCGTCGGGCCGAGCCGCAGAAGATACACCTTCCAAAGAGCCTTTTTATTTGACGTTCGTATTTAGTAAACAGTTTTTATTTGCCAAGTACACTGGCAAGGAACTTTCTTATGTTACCTAATTTCATCCTCACACCCACTCCAAAAGGAAGGGGACATCAACCATATGTTACAGTCTAAGAAACTGAGGCCCAGTTACTTAACTCACCCAAATATGTCAGTTAAGAATAAGTTGAGCACAATTATGTCAGGCCTGGAATCTCTGCTGTTCTCGCAGCCTCCCCTCAGTCTTGTTGCTTCATGGTCCACAGTTGGCTGCCCCTGCTCCTGCCATCATGTTTTCCTTCAAGACAGGAAGAAGAGGTAGGGACAGGGACGGCCATGTCTCTCCCTTTTATCAGATAAAGCGAAAGCTTTCCCAGAAGCCCCGGCTGACTTCTGATTACATCCCATTGGCCAGAGCTCTGTCACATGACCACCCTCTGCTGCAAGGGAGCCTGGGAAAGCAAGTGGCCAGGGAGCAAGGGGGTGGGAGCATCTGCTGAGTCAGCCAAAGAATGGTGTCTGCTGAGCCAAGGCCGGAGGGCAGGGCTGAGGCTCCCACCCGTGTCTTCTGATCCCAAGGTCAGGGCTATTTCCACTCGACCTCCACCTCAAGACAGAACCTCTGTGCTCTTGTTCCGGTTGGGACAGTCAGTCACCAGAGACTGGGCTGCATGGACCCTCCTGCCCTCCTGCAGTCGAGTCTGAGCCCTTGTGCCTTCTCCCCTCAGCCAGGAATCTCGCAGGACCCTGGCCGCCTAGGTCCCCACCTTAAAAGCTCATCTGGTGCCCTTGCCACTGTGGGAAGTATTAGCAACTTTCTTAAGAGTGGCTGCTGCCCGCCCCCCCCCTTCCTGCTATGGCCCGGGATAGGTTCTTATCAACCTCCTTTGGGCTGTCCAGGTGCGGTGTGCACAGCATCCCTGAAATGCGTGTTAGGAAAGGACTCAGGGCAGGAGGACCTAGTAAGTGTGAGAGCCCCTTAGCCACATGGAGTAAGAGTCAGGGTGACCGTTGGATGAGAAGAAGAGGGCAGGAAGCGGTGGAACACATCTGCTTCTTAAAGCTTGTTTTTCTCGCAAAGAACCCTGAACTGAGTCGCCTACGAAGCAGTCCCACATGGGGCATGAACATCAGTGACCCGTAGGGCAAGGGAGATGCACTCTCCAGTGTTTAATCTGCTCTTGGGAGATACACGGTGCTCACAAGCCCTTGAGTGGCACATGCACTATCCCTCCACCCAGCTCGCTGAAGTTCCCAGAAGGGCCACCAGCAGGCCTGCGCTGAGGAGGGGCCGGGGGAGACAGGAGGTGGGGAGAGGGAAGGGAAGAGGCCGGTGTCGCAGATACCACCCCTCTCTGCCCAGAGGCTTTTTCTGATTGAATGTTCAGAGGGCTGAGGCGTCATGGACACCCTCCCCTGGCCCCTGCCAAGGGGATTCTGCCCCCGCCCCCAACAAAAGCAGCAGGGCGGGAAGGCCTCCTGTAGGTTTGGGCAAGAGTGAGCTGGTAGCATCCACGGAGGACCCCTGATCGTCTGGTCTGTCCTTGCCCTCACAGCTCTTTTCCTTGTTGACAATCACCATGAGGTATACCTCTGGCAAGGCTGGTGGCCCATCGAGAACAAGATCACCGGTTCAGCCCGCATTCGCTGGGCCTCCGACCGGAAGAGCGCCATGGAGACCGTGCTCCAGTATTGCAAAGGTGAGGGCCACGGCCACAAGCTTCGCCCACCGGGTGGGGGCCGCAGAGCGGCCTTCCTCTTCCCGCGTGGGCCAGCCAGCCTTGATAAAGCCTGCCAGACAGTGATGAAGCCAAGCTTTCTCCCCCCACTTTAATTTTTTAAGGCTTCTTAATTTTGAGATTAGTGTGTTCTTGGCTATCAGCATGAATGAGAATTCATTTTTCTCTTTTATATAACTGGGCCACCTAAGTCTCTACCCTCAAGGTCAAAGACTATATTGTGGAATACGCTGGACTGATGAAAACCCTTTTGCACTGGGAATGAGTCATGCTGGGGACACGCGGGCCTCCACCCACACGTAGTGCCACACTGTCTGAGAGTGGGAAGCTCCCCCACACGGTCTGGAGAGCCGATGGCAACCTTTTTATTATTATTATTTTTAGCGTTATATATAAAAAAAAATACCTATAGTGAACTCATGGCTTTTTACTATACTGTCAACCTAAAATTTATAGTATTCTTTATAAAGTGAAAATGCCATTAATTTCTTATCTTAATTTTTAAGGTTTCATGGATTAGTTTCACTGAGTTTGTATAGTCGATTTTCTCTTGAAAAGCTCATCAGTGATAAGTAACAAATTTCCACCAAATGTTGAAGTTAGAGTGGCTTATAAAATGCTGTCATTAGCTGTTTAACTGACACTGAACCTAATGCTGCATTAGGAAGGTATTCTCCACACGTGAGCACAAGAGAAAATGTCTTACCCCGAAGCCACGGAGAGAGGCTTTCTCCCATTCAGAGTTCTAGAAGCATTTTGTCAGACTCAGGTCAATTCCATGCAGTTTTATGCATTGTTATATCATAAAATTGACATTTTGTATAAACATCATCCATGTGTTGTTATGAAGTACTCAAAACTTGCATTTTAACCATAAGGGATCCAAACAAGAAAAGATTTCACGGGAAATCAGAGAAAGCCCAGTTCTTCAGACCCAACCCCTGGGTGTATTGACATCGCCTTCTGTGTACCTACAGGAAAAAATATCAAGAGGCCTCCCCCCAAGTCTTACCTTATCCACGCTGGTCTGGAGCCCCTGACGTTCACCAACATGTTCCCCAGCTGGGAGCACAGAGAGGACATCGCTGAAATCACAGAAATGGTGAGCGCGCTTTCTCTCCCTGTGAAGATAGCTCCCCGCCTTTCAGATTGTGCGTTGCCTTTCCCTTGGGGCGAGGCATCCAATTGCATTTTCAAAGTGAGAAAACGTTTTTTTCTTTTACAACACGTTAGCAAGTCTACGTAGAATTAGCTCAGCAATAGAAGAAATCATTTGAGCTCTTTTGGTTAATTTTCTACACCTGGTGCTCAAGTTAAACGAACTTAAAAGCAAAGGTGAACTTAATTACTCTGAAGAATATACATAAATAAAAGCTGTCATCTCTTCCTTCTGTTAGCTAAAAATCTATTGCTTCTCAAGGGCCATGTAAGGCACAACAAAATCCTCTTGTTTCAGACATTAACCTCGTGTTAGAGGACACACAGAATAAACCTGTGATGGATTAACCTGCTCAGATTACTGGGTGAATGAATGTGTCCCTCCTGATAAGCAGTGTTAATAGCTCATTAATAGTTTTTTATGAGACCAGCTGGTGTCAGCACAGGAAGCATTTGTCATAACCTTTATTTACTAAAACATACTATTAACCAGAACGTTATAATTACCAACCACATAAAAAAAAAAAAAGCTTAGTACAGCTATGTCACATTTCTTAAGTTACGAGTTTTTGACATTGCTAGCAGTAGCAATTCCAAGGGGGTTTTTTTGTTTTGTTTTGTTTTGTTTTGTTTTGTTGTTCCAGGGGAGAGGACGTGGGTATTTTACGGGAGGTCTGAACAGGTGTAAAGAAAAAGAGTTCACCGCTGCTTAACAATGGATGTTCAGTGCACTGCTGAGCCTCACCTCTCTCTGGAACCGGGTGGACTCGGTGCACACGGGGAGGAGCCCGCCAGTCATAGCAGAGGGCTCCGTTTACCATAGACGTGCAATCCGCACTAGGCACGGTGTGGACCATCACCGCCTCCTGCAGTCTGAGCTGGAGGCTGTCACGGCCCTGGTGCCCTGCTTCCGCTGTAGGTCCCGGGGCGGCAGTGGGCTTGGAGCATCGTGTGCAGGGACTTCGGGCTTCCTACACCAGCCTGTAGTAGCAACACAATCGCCAGGTGCTTGCTGGGCGCCAGGCACGGCTCCAAGCGCTTGGCTTGTATTTTCTCCTTTATTTTCACAGTAGTCTCTTAAGATGCGTCTTCGTGTTATCCGCGTTTTTCTAGGGAAGGAGCGGAGGCACAGAGACCTGCCGTAGCTTGTCCCGGGTCTCGGGTGCAGGCTTGCTCCAGAACCCACTCCGTGAGCGCTAGTCTGTACCATCACTGATGAATTTGGCAACACCGTTAGTTGTTCATTCCCGCCACTCAAAAGGAGGGCAGCCAATCTGGGATTCCGGGTTTAACAGAGGAAGATCATTTACCTGGAATAACCTGTTCAGATTAAATGCACAGTGGTTTTTGAAAAAAATCTAGATTCAACAGCATCTTCTAGACGCATTTTCTTACCTTTCTCTATTCCAGATTAAGAAATGGGGCTGATAGGAAAGGATGTGATTTCTCTTAAGGTTATTTTTAAATACTTTTAAACAAATTCCATTATTTGAACGCTTCCAGTGTTTAGAGTGCAAATTTAATAATCGTATGCCATAATTCACTCATGTGATGGTCCCTAAACATTTTTCTGAGGCAGCCCCAAGCCAGGATTTATTTGGTGGGGTGGGAAGACATGTAAAAGTCAGAACTGTGAGGCTTTGGGCAATTCCTTTCCATTTCAGAGCCTGCTTCTGCCTGAGCGAGCCTCTCCAGCTGGGGCGCAGAGTGGACAGTAGGGCTGTGTTTGCGCCCGTGCGCGGTAAAGCATTTGTGCAGATGCAGGGCATGAAGTTCTCTCTGCTCCCTCCTCTTCTCTAGGATACGGAAGTTTCCAACCAGATCACCCTTGTGGAAGATGTCTTAGCCAAGCTCTGTAAAACCATTTACCCACTGGCCGATCTGCTAGCCAGGCCACTGCCCGAGGGAGTTGATCCTCTGAAGCTTGAGCTTTATCTCACTGATGAAGACTTTGAGGTAAGCACGTCTTCATGTGCGATAGCGTTTAAGCAACACGCTTGGCTGGGATGGGGGTCCTTGTACTCACCCGCTGGGCGTTTCTCCCGATTTTGCAGTTTGCACTAGACATGACGAGGGACGAATACAATGCACTGCCCGCCTGGAAGCAGGTGAACCTGAAGAAAGCAAAAGGTCTGTTCTGAGCGGGAGAGATGCTGGAGGAACCTCTGTCGTCACTTTCAATACCATTGGACCAGGGAAATGGGTATTTTTTTTTTTTTTTGGACTGGTATTTAAAAAAAAAAAAAAAAAAAAAAGATTTTTTAATCAGTTTTCCAAAACCTAAAGTTATTAGCTCTACTGCTTGTCCCAGATTTGTGTATTTTGTAAATGTTTAAGCGGCCCCTTTGGAAACTCTCTTTCCACGATTCAGCAGGTAATGTCAATAAAGGCGTCCCTACGTGCACGTGTGCGGCAACTCCCGCACTTGCCCACCTTTTTTGGAAGCAATTCTCTTTATAAAGTGTTATTTTGATAGTTTGTGGGTTCTAAAATATATATATTTATATAAACACCATATAAGTCAAATATGTATTTAACAAAGCAATATGTATTCATTCACTCTTAAGATTGTTTTTCTTTTGGTGTCAAAATAATACTGAACGGTAGATGGAATTGCTTCTGTGAAATTAGCTCTGGCACCCCTGCGTATCTTCACACACGTTCAGATACGTCTCCTTCAGCATTAAGTCTGACTTGTTCTGAGTGCTGCTTCCGGTGCTAAAACGAACAAATGGATTTGTACTTCCTGGCATGGGCTCTGAAGAATCTGTGCGCATCCACCTTTCTACCTTAATATCTCCCCGAAATGTATAGTGCCTTGTTTTTATGTACAGTTTATATACAGAAAAGTTTGCTCTGCATTTTTTTTTTGATGGTTTGGAACATTATCTCCAATTTTACTCTAAAATAGTAGAAATTTAAAAAAAATCTCAAGTTTCTAATACCTGTTGTAAACACAAAACATGTCATTTTGCGACACAGGACTCCAAAATAAAAGCTTCGAGAATAAACACAATAATTAATTGTTTCACATTGGATCCCAAGCATGTTCCTTTCTGAAAAATGTGGGTGTTTTTGTAAATGTTAACCTAATATCAGTATTTTGCCATTTAATATTAACTGCTATAACTTTTATTTTAGTTTAGGGCAAGATTTTATAATAGGGTCATATAACTGAACAGACTTTGGACCCATAACATTCGTTCTGAGTACTATATTGAAGACGTGTTTTTGCAAATCATCACTCAACAGAAGCTTTTTACCCTAAAACTATTTCTGCATTTCACATTTAGGATCTCAGTGTCTTTTTAAGAATATTGAATATATAAGCATTTAGAAAACCTAAAAATGAGAAAACTCCTCACAGGCTCCTATATTCATAAAATCCCACATCCGGGGTTTTGAATTCCATAGACCTGCTGTGAGTTGTCACTGCATCTGTCCCACCCACCC